CTGCTGCCGCTGCCGCTGCTGCTGCTGTTGTTGTGTTGAAGGTTGTATTGACTGTGGACATTCCTAGTCCCTGATAATATTGACATAGGAAAATGTTATCGAGAAATTAAAGATTCATATGTGCATATAGATCTCAAAAGAAAGAAACAAGAAAGCAAGAACAAAAAAATTTGGGAGTGGGGTTATCTTTTGCGGTCGTCAAGGACAATCACTACTGCGAAGAAAACAGATCTTGGTAAAGGTGCAAAAGATGAGGGATAATGAAATTAATAGGTGAACTTGTATATATTGCTAGAATAAAACGACCCTTTTCATGTTTGTTGCTTTTTCATCGCCATAAAAGCTTGAAAAGGAGAAAAAGGAAAGGAAAATAAAGTGAGATATGTGAGGTGCTTTCAGGGATCAAAAGGGGTCTGATTGGATGACAGGATTAAAGGAAAAGAGAAGAGGCCATGATAAAAGGAGATCTACGCACAGAACTTTCATCGCCACTAAAAACCTAGCCACTAAAAAAAATTAAAAAAAACTTGAAATAAAACCTAGATCAAGAACTAATAACCAGATCCTGGGCTTTTGGAAATACCTGAGCCCATTGAGCAGTATCCATGCAAGCTTCAATCTGTGAAGCTCTTTTTATGATATTCTGGTGGTGATTTCAAGCTTAGAAATCAAGAAAACTTCAAGTACTCTTCTTCTTTTGAGGCACCTAGAAATCTCTGCAGACAAAGAATGTTTCTGGATTGTTTCAGTGGAGAATATAAGTATGAGAGAGAGAGAGAGAAGATGGTGCTTAGTTGTTTCTGCAAGACTTGAGCAATTTTATATTAAAAGTAATATTATATTAGGGCATTTGTGGGTATGTGGGTATGTGTGTGTGAAGGCAGCCACATGTTTGAGAGTACGTACACACTAGACTAGTTTCTGATTCTATTAATGGACCTTTGTTTAATTTGGCTGAGAGAGGAAATATAATCTGAAAATGTTTGGTGTACTGTTTTTGCTAAATGAAGATGTGAGACTATATGTGTATTGATATAAAGTTAGTGAAGTTGGTATTGTGGTTTCATGCAAAATCGGTTGAAATCAGCTACACGAACCCTAGAATAGGTTTGAGGATTTGCAAGTCCCATCTAAGTTAGGGGCAATGTAGAGACAAAAAGATCAATACTTTTAAAAGTTAAAAAGTATCTGTTTCTTTCTTCTTCTTCTCTCTTTTTTTTTTTTTTGTCTACTTATGTTAGAGATTGTCGAGACTGGTTGAGGATTTACAAGAGAAAAGGGATTGTTAATTTTCTTAAAGACGCTAAAGTAACTCTTCTCTTCCGTGGCCATATGCACATTGTCGTGGCCATGATGTACATTGTCGAACCACGTAAAATCTTGTGGCTTTTTATGATTCGTCTTTGTTACTTTGTTCCTTGATTTTCATAAGGTTCCACACTAAGACCTTGACGGTTAATATCAAAGCAATGTCGATACAAGTCACAACATATTATTCATAATTAAGCTCAATTTGTTGAATTTTGCTCATGTAATCATGCAATAGGTTGTATATCTTTCTAGTTCCATTACACTATAGGTTGTAAGTTCTCGTCTAACCTACCAACACCTGTACTTCTCTCTAATGTTACTCTAGTATACACCCTTGGAATAAAATTGGGTTAAGATCCTTTATCCTTTGAAAACAAACTCTGTAGAGTTATTAATGAATCCATTTTTGCTTGTCGATTAGTGATTTCTGTGAGTTTTGGATGAAAGGAGATCATAGCACTCAAACTTAATTGCCTTGTGTTTAAAAGTAAGCAGAAAGCAAAGAACAATAAATTAATTAGTTTTCTAAAGTGATGATTGACTATATGTGTATTGATATTATAAAGGCCTTTGATACTATTAGTGGAATTTTTTGAAAGAAATGCTCAAGAGCCTGGGGTTTCCTTAAGTGATGATTGACTGGGTTATGGCTTTTGCATATCATCCCAAAGTATTCTATTTCCCTTAATGGTTCACTCCATGGATATTTTAAGGGTGAAAGAGGGTTAAGACAGGGTGATCCTCCCTCCCCTTATCTCTTTATTCTAGGTATGGAGTATCTCTCAAGAAGCTTGGATCAGTTGAGACATGATAGGCTGTTCAAGTTTCATCCAAAATGTGGCAAACTCAAAATCACTCATCTAATTTTTGCTGATGACTTACTATTATTTAGCAGAGGGGGCTTATACTTTGTTCAGAAACTATATCAATGTGTCGGAAATTTTAGTGAAGTCACAAGGCTGGAAGCAAATCTGGATAAATGTGCTATTTTCTATGGTGGAGTTGATGATACTGTCAAAACATCCATTAGCAACTTTCTGGGCTTTTCTGAGGGCACCCTACCAATAAGATATTTTGGAGTTCCTCTCATTTGCAAAAGGTTGTCATATGTGGATTGCTACCCTCTCATAAATAAAATTTCTAGTCAATTTTAAAATTGGCTAAAGCACAAGAACCTTTCATATGCGAGGCGATTGCAAGTTATCAGAAGTGTTATATTAGGCGTGCAAATTTTCTAGACATCTAATTACATTTTGCCTGTTAAAGTAACATTGAAGATTGATGAGTTGTGCAGAAACTTCTTATGGGGTAAATCAAACCAAACATTCAGGATTCTTTTAGTTTCATGGGAAAAAATTTGTTTGGAGAAGAAACAAGGAGGCTTAGGGATATATTCAGCTGCTATCTGGAATCTAGCATCAGCTTTTAAAAACTTATGGTACATTCATATTAATAAAGAATTATTGTGGATTAAATGGATTCATGGGACCTATTTAAGACATAGGGATATTTGGCATGTGAATTCAAGATCTGGTGATTCATGGATGTGGAAACAATTAATCAAAGTTAGAGATAAAGCCTTGACGCTTTGTGGTGGTGTTGATAACTTGATTCAACTTCTCAATTCATGTTACAAAAATTCTAAAATTCATATATCTGCCTTGTATTTTGCTTTAACCCCTGTTTCACAAAGGGTATCGTGATTCAAAAAAGTTTGAGAGGGGTTGAATTACCCCAAACATTCTTTTATTTGTTGGCTAGCTGTGCAGGATAGAATACTCACTCAGGACAGATTGTTAAGGAGAGGAGCTACAAATGCAAACCGATGCTTCTTATGCTCTGGTGCAGGTTCGGAGAGCAAGAATCACTTATTTTTTGAATGTCCCTTTTCCAGGGATGTTTGGAACTCAATCAGGAATTGAGTTCAATTTAAATGGAAGTCTTGTGACTGGAACTTGCTATTGAATTGGTATAATTCTAGATTGAGGGGAAGTGGTTTCAAGCAAAAAGTTAAAAGGATGACTTCTGCGACTACAATATACAACTTGTGGGGTGAACGCAATGCTAGAATTTTCCAACAGAGGTGCAGATGTGTTGATTACTTGGTGAAAGATATTAGAGTGGATATTTTGACCATATGCCTAAATAGTCCTATACAAGATGAAAACAGAAGTTGGCTTCTTTCTTCGTAAAAATAGGATAGGTTGTTAAATTCTTTTCATTGTGATTTGTTTCCTGTTTCGATATCTCAGTTTTGAGTATCTTGGTGTAAATAACTTCTCATTTGGTGAATGAATAAAATCTCTTTTCATTGACCAAAAAAAAAGAAATTAGTTTTGCTATGGTAGTTCTAGTAATTAATAATTAAAGGATGAGACTAAATTTCTATAAATTATCAAATGTGCCAGTTAGTGTCAATGATGAATGGTACTTGAATCAACATATTCATGATAGTTAATTATGAGAAATTTGGTGCCTAGAAACATTTGTAGTGAAGGCTGCAGATTTGTTTTGATTCCAAAACAATTTGTGGCATCATTAACTCTGTTAGGCTCTATCAGTCTTTGTAATCAAGGTTTAAAGTCATCATATTAGAAATCTATATTCAGAATTGTTCACTTAAAGACAGAAAGAAAATATTTGGAAGTTTTTAAAAAGCTAGCTTATCAAGTTCAAGGCCAAGAAAGTTTAAAATCATCATGTACAGTGTGTTGTCTATCTGGTGGTAAACATACTTGGCCTAACTTCAAATCATGATGTAAGAGAAAAAGAAAAACGGAACGTGGTCAACCTAGCTAGCTAAGATCCTATAAAAGGTCCTGGTGAGTTTTTAATTTTTATTTATTAATTTTTATTTTGTTGTTGTTGTAGTGCTACTTGGGGAGGTTTTGATTTTCTTTACTACAGTTTTAACAGTGAAAATATTACTTTTTCAAACAGAGGTCTAAATTAACTTGAACAATTGTGATTCATCTTGAGCATAAATACTAGTACAGCCTTCTAGAATAAACTTCTATACAATCTTTGATCTACGTCTCTAAACACATACAGATGAGTTTTTATTTTCTGATTTAGCAAAATGAACCGCCAAGACTAAAATTGACGATGTCCGTATGTATGTTTTGATGTGATTTACAAGATGATGAGTTAATCTATATATTTTTCTATACTTTTCAAACAAATTAAATTGATGTGATTTAACAAAATAAGTTGTGATTGTCATGGATAAACCCCTCAATTTCTATACTTTTTCAATCAAAATTAATTAATTAATTAATGAACCCCTTGACCTTGCCATTCTAATTGAACTTCCTAATACTACAAAGCCTACCACGACCATTAGCTCTGTCTTTATGCAAGTCTCTAAAAATGTGGTCAGCACACTTATGACCTAAAAAACATCTACTTTGAGTGCCCTATGAGAATTTGCTTTATTCCTATCAAAACTAATAAGAACTATCACTTTCTCCAAATTGGTGACTGTCTTTGGAATTCTGACTGGCCAACCAACCCTTCAACTCCTGTGAAAAACACAACATCCGCATCATTTCGAGCTTATTTATTAAAAACCATCATCAGAGCACTTTTTCAGCTCACCAGCTCTGTATTTTAACTAAGGTGGCACGTACAAGGAGGAATAATTAAGCTATTTGTAAGAATGCTCGTCCGGTTGTA